TGGTTTAAGGGAACAAGTATCAATTCAACTATCCCGGCGAGGGAGAATACAAGTAAACAGCTAGTTCCCGGCAAGGGAGCAACGACAATAACTTACACGTCCCGGCAAGGGAATAATTACATCTCTTTCTCTTTCGTCCATTTCTTACTTCCTAACCAAGTCATAATTCGAGCCAACGCTCCAAGGAGTTTACAAGTCATATTTCATTTTCATACTGATCACATTATATAGCAACCATCAATTAAACAAGGAAGAGTCACTACAGAATCCCAAATAAGCACAAATAAGGACTCACGGTCATGCTAGACACCGGTGTATAGATACTCGTCACCATGCCTATACACCGTACTCCACATTTAGCAATTAGCAAATAATACTCTAATCCTATTCCCTCAAGCCAAAGTTAGATCAAACACTTACCTCGAATGCTCCAAACTCAACTCAAGCCTCTAGTATAGCTTTACCCCTCGAATTCGGCTCCAACTCAGTCAAATCTATGAAATAATGACTTTGTAATATCAATAATAGCTAAACAAACTAAACCCAAAGCCTAAATATAGATTTCTAAGCTTTCTTCCCAAAATCGATCCCGGGCCCGCTTGGTCAAAACCCGAGGTTCGAACCAATTCCATGTTACCCATTCCCCCACGAGCCCGGATATACAATTTGTTTTTAAATTCGACCCCATAACGAGGTCTAAATCAAGAAAAAATTAAAAAACCCTAACTCTACCCATATCCCTAATGTTCTACCATTAAAACCCTAAGATTGTTGATAAAAGTTGATGAAAACACTAGATAATGGAAAGAAATCAGTTAGTAAGTGCTTACTTGTGATTTGAGAAGAAAATCTCTTGAGAAAATCGCCCTAGTCTTCTAATTGTTGAGAAAGTTCGAAAGAAAATCGCTGAAGTTATGTTTTTAAAAAAAGACTCACTGCCCGACTTCCGCATCTGCGGTACAGGGGTCGCACCTGCGCCACCGCACGTGCGGAAAAATGGGCGCTTCTGCGGAAATGGCTAGGCCCCGCTGGAGCCGCACCTGCGAAGAAAAGATCCGCTTCTGCGGACCGCATCTGCGGGGTAGGAATCCGCATCTGCGAAGGAGACCGCATTTACGACTCGCTGTTCGCACCTGCGAGTCCGCATCTGCGGCCAAAGGACCGCAGGTGCGGTTACACCAGAACTGGTGCAGCAGCAGTGATTTTCTGCAATTTTTTTTTTCTAAGTTCAACCACCCCGAACACCCCCAAAAATACTCCCGAGCCCTCGGGGCTCCTAACCAAACACGTACACTAACTCAACAACACCCTACGAACTTTACCGTGCGATCGAATCGCCAAAATAACATCAAAAACGAGGAATCAAACCTCAAAATCATTACTTTTTCATCAAACTTCATAAACCTTCATTTTTAGATATTTAGGTCCGAAACACGTCAAACGACGTCCGATTTCGACCAAATTTCACAGGAAGCGCTTAAACCACATATAAGACCTGTACCGGGCGCCGGAACCAAAATACGGGCCCGATACCAACGATTTCTAATCCACTTTCATTTCAAATTTCCATATAAATTTCAGAAAAACAATTTCTTTTAAAAATTCATTTCTCGGGCTCGGGACCTCGGATTCGATTCCGGGCATACGCCCGAGTCCCATATTTTTCTACGGACCCTCCGAGACCGTCAAATCACGGGTCCGGATCCGTTTACCCAAAATGTTGACCAAAGTCAACTTTAACCATATTAATATCAAAATTTATCAATATTTATACAAACTTCATATTTAAGCTTTCCGGCTACGCGCCCGGACTGCGCACGCAATTCGAGGCAACCCTAAATGAGGTTTTCGAGGCCTCGGAAGCACGGAATGAATAAGAAAATAGGTGATGACCCTTTGGGTCGTCACAGGTTTTTCCCTAAAAGGAAACAAACCAAGTAAGTCGGTTTTTCAAATATTACAACCAAACCAAACTAATTTACAAGTCGATTGTTTCTCGATTTGGTTTATGTCGGTTTTTGTTGGTTTTTTCGGTTATTTATCAATTTTTTCTTAAATATAAGACATACACTACCAAACACATATTTAATTTCGGCAACCACATTTCAATGTAACACTATCAAATCAATTGCCCTTTGAGAAATCTATTATTAATATATTGATGATAATTGAATCAAATAGTGATGAATAATTTAAGGACTCAATAAAAAATATTTTTTTTAACATGAAATGAAATCTTACACTTAACAAAAGAAAGCTACCAATCAAACTAGAATATAAAAGTAAAGAACTGTACTAAAAGTGCAAACGGTTAACATTCACCATAAAGTTTTTGAAACTTTGTATAAACATATATGTATATATAGGTGTAATAATAAATTGACATAGCTACTCCTATAGTCGGTTTGTTTCATTTTTTTTTTGGTTATTTTTTGTTTAAAAACAAAACCAAACCAAATTTGATCGGTTTTTAAAATTCAAAACCAAAACCAAACTGATAATAGGTGAATTTAACTATAATCACGCCTTAAATAACCACCTTCTTGTATAGTTTTGATGATAAAAGTGATAACAAAATGCTCTTAGTAGTGCTTTTCATGATTTGCAGGTGATATATGACCAGGGAAGGGAGTACTTTTGGAGTCAAAAATGAAGAAAAAGAGGCCAACTGTGAAATTCCCCAAGTAAACCACGCAAAACAGGCCTGAAGATTCAGAGAACTGTGTTGACCGCGGTTCCACCGCGACCGCGGTAGAATCGCGGTGGAAGATAGCTGCGGATAAAATGAGATTCAGAGAACGCATTTGGCCGCGGTTTGACCGCGACAGCGGCAGAACCGCGGCGGAAGCATAAAACTTTAGGGACTAAAGTGTAAAGCACGGGATTTTTAGACCTAAACCCTATTTTAAATACGAGACTTCGCCCAAAAGAGGCATGTACTGAATTTTAGAGTATCTTGGCAGGAAAAACTATTGTGAGAGAATACCCAAAAACATAGTTCTTCTTTTCTTTGATTTTTATTGCTAGTTATGATGAATTCTATCTTAGTTTGTTTTCCCATAGCCATGAGTAGCTAAATCCTTTGTCTAAGGCTTTGATGGAACCTATTGGGGGATGAATATCTTGTTTATGTGAATACAAATTGCTAATTTCAATCTCTATTTGTTCAACTTTGTGCTTGTTGTAGTTAATTGACAGGATCCTCAATTAGCTGTGCCTATTTAGTGTGCATAACTTGGAAAAGAGTGCATATTTAGGTTATTATTGAACAACACCACTCCCAAAGTATAAGAGGAATCTATAATCGCGGGTTTAAAGGCGGAATTAGGGATAACGAAGCCTTGGGTGTAATCTAAAGTGAATTGTGCTAAATAAAGTAAGCTAGTGTATCTCGGGAGAGTGCAATTAGTATATTACTGTGATTACTCGGGAGAGATTTACGGTAAGATGAGCGTTCATGATTGATAGAGATGTGTTGGTAAATTTGTATGAGCATAAATAGAAGGGATTTCTTCAATAGGGGAAATTATTGCCTTAGCTTTTTCTCATCATTGTTTACAACCTTAGCATTTTAATTTACAGCTGTTTAATTTACTTGCAATCGTAGTTAGTAAAGCGACCTCCAACTGTAATTCAAACATCTGGGAAACTGGTTCTGAAGAGTTTAGTGGGTCTAAAGATAGTGATTGATAGATTAACTCTCTGTGGATTCGACCCTGGGCGTAATACTCGGGTTATATTTACAACGTCCGCAGAGTCCTTTTTAGAGGGCATAGTTGGGCGTGATCACAAACCCAACTAAAAAGTATCGATTTTTTTGGTCGGTTTGGTTCGATTTTTCGGATTCTTATGAACACCCCTAAATTTAGGTGGTTCTAAGGTCATTTTGCCTTTTAGCTTTCAACAGTTTAGGTCTAAAAAATATTGTCTTTTTCAGACATAAAAAAATTACTGATTCCAATAACTACTAAAATTAAGTACTATCCAAAAGAGCTTTCTTCTATAAACTGAAGTTTATTTTCTTGGATTAAGCAATGCAGAATGTTTTCCTACTTTTGAATTTGTCTGCGGTTTTTCTTTTTTTTTTTTATAATTTTTTTTTTGTTAGTAGTTGTTACTAAAAATTTTGAGCTTTGTATAATGGAAAGATGAGGTAAGCTAAATACAAAAGAATTTTCTTAGAAGAAATATAAGCTACTTTTTAAAAACGTTTTAACAAATAATAAGGGATATTAAAGACGATGAAGAAAAGATCTATTTTCGAGTTGTAAAAATTAAAATGAAAGAAGAATACATGAGATTCGATTATCCTAGCTACTCAATCTAAAAAATCCAATCTGTTGGTGCTTGGATTTCTTCCTTTTCTTTTAAAAAATATAAGTGTCATTTTTTCCCTCTACTTGTTGTAAATTATAATTTTACTTGCATTATGTACTTAGATATAAGTTCAATGGAACATTTTATTCACATATTTACGTCAAATAAAATAATAATAATAATACACCAATTGTTATTCACACATACGTTTATCACTTAATTATAATTATATAAGGTTTAAATCATTTTTTATTTTATATGAACACCATAACGAGTATTTATCCGTGTTCTAATATCATCAGTAACATATTCCTTGAACTTTATAAGTTCGAGGTTTTAAAATAGCGACCTCCAATGCTAACAATTATATATTATTAGTGGAATTTTTAATAAAAATATAAAATTTAAACCAAAATCATTAAATTCCACATATAAATCCCATAAAAAAGTCTTCATTTCTCCACCTTTTCTTCCCACAAAATTCACCGACAATCCCAACCTAAATTTAATAAGAAAATAAACATTAAAAAAAATCTAACCTTACTGCCTTTAAATTTTTATATTTTATTAGTAGTTAAAACCACACTCATTTTTCTTCAATTTTCTATTACTCCTACTTAAGTAGCCACCATCAATTTTTTTCTATATTTAATATCTTGACAATAATTGTTTAAAGTACCAAAATACAGCCGAATCCATCAAATTCATAGTACTTCTTTCCCAATTCCCAACTAGTATTTCTTTATCTTCCCAGCTCACAAAACACACACACACACACACACACACACACAGTCTCCCTCTCTCTCAAAAAGTAAACCATGAACATGATACCCACTCCTTAAGAACTGAGAAAAACACCAAATCTGAAATTCTGAAATCTCAAAACCTATTTGGGGTTTTGAGTTTTCCTGTTAAGGAAAAAAAATGAGCTCAAAAATCTTAATTTTCTTCACCATTTCAATTTTCTTGATTTTCCGGCGGACAACCTCAGACATTGTTTCCGACCGGTCAACACTTCTATCAATCCGATCTGCTTTACGTGGCCGTTCACTTTTATGGAACATAACAAGTCCAACATGTTCTTGGCCCGGTGTTATTTGTTCACCGGACAAATCTTCAGTTCTCGAACTTCATCTTCCCGGTATGGGACTTTCCGGCCAAATCCCACCTGGTCTTTTCTCAAATCTTACTAAATTAAACTTCCTTAGTCTTCGTTACAATGCACTTTCCGGCGTAATTCCGGCCGACTTATTTTCTCCATTAAAAGACTTGAAAAACTTGTACCTTCAGCATAACCTCTTTTCCGGTCCGGTTCCTGATTCAATTTTCAGTCTTTCTAATCTTGTCCGGCTCAATCTTGCTCATAACAATTTCTCCGGTCCAATCCCTTCTTCTTTCAACAATTTGACTGGTTTGGGTACACTTTACTTGCAGGATAATGGGTTTTCGGGTCAAATACCGGATCTGAATTTACCCGGTTTAGTTCAGTTCAATGTGTCAGATAATCAGTTAAATGGGTCAATTCCTAGTAAACTTTCGGGTCAACCCAAGGATTCTTTTTTGGGTACTTCACTTTGTGGGAAGCCACTTAATTCCTGTGATAATAATAATGGAGATGAAGGGGGAAAAGAGAAGAAACTTTCTGGTGGAGCAATTGCTGGAATTGTAATTGGTTGTGTTATTGGTTTGATTTTGATTCTTTTATTACTGTTCTTTTGTTGTTGTCGGAAAAAGAGCAACAAAGAAACAACAAGATCTGCTGACGTGGCAGGTGTTAAAGAAGTAGGAATTGAAATTCCTGAAGAAAAGGGTGTTGAGAGTCATGGAGGAAAAGATGGATTTTTGGGTAGTGCAATTGCAGCTATAGGAGTTGGAGGGGGTAATAAAGATAAAGGAAAAGCTGAGGCAGTTGTTGGAAATGGAAAAAGTTTAGTATTTTTTGGAAAAATGAATAAAAGTTTTGATCTTGATGATTTGTTGAAAGCTTCAGCTGAAGTTTTAGGAAAAGGGACATTTGGTACTGCTTACAAGGCTGCATTAGAATCAGGGATTACATTGGTTGTGAAAAGATTGAGGGATGTAACTGTACCTGAGAAAGAGTTTAGGGAAAAGATTGAAGAAGTTGGAAAATTGAATCATGAGAATTTAGTACCTTTAAGAGCTTATTATTATAGTGGGGATGAGAAGCTTCTTGTTTATGATTATATCTCAATGGGAAGCCTTTCTGCACTTTTACATGGTAAGAAAATAGTTTCTTCTTTTCTTTGCTATATTGTTCGGAATCTTTGAAAATGCTATTGCGTGCGTGTTGGATCCGCCAAAAGTAGTGCATTTTTGGAGGATCTGATACGGGTTCAGCATTATTTCTTTGAGAGGCCGAGGTGAGGGTCTATTGGAAACAACCTCTCTACCTTCACTAGGTAGGGGTAATGTTTGCCTACACACTGCCCTCCCCGGACCCCACCTGTGGAAATATACTAAGTTTGTTGTTGTTGTTGTTGTTGTTGCCGAGTATATTTTTTTGTGTCATGCCATTATAGTACAGTAGTGTCGTGTACCATTTACATGATCTGCAAATTTTAGTTATCTGATTGACACTGATACTGCTACTTTTGCTGATTACTATAAGGGTAGTAACTTTGGATAGTATTTGTTTTCTTGGATCTTGTTATCTGTTCTTGAATTGGTGGTATTGTGTATAAAGTTGCTGAGTTTGGCCGATGTGCTGTAGTTGAATTTCTCTTCATCTCTCGTGAGCTGAGGGTTTGTCGGAAACAACCTCTCTACCTTCAAGGTAGGGTAAGGTCTGAGTACACACTGCCCTCCCCCGACCCCACTTGTGAGATCACACTGGTTTTCTTGTTGTTGTTGTTGTTGTGCTGTAGTTGAATTATTGTGCCCAAATGTGTTCACGAGATGCATTGGAATAGGTCAAAATGCAGTTTTTCTTAAGTATTGGAATGAGGACCACTTTGGCCAGCCACTAAAATCAAGTTTTTTTTTGTTTTGTTTGTCTTTGGAAGCTGAAACTTTCAACTTACACTGTCAATTTTTGGTGTGGACTTGATCTGTCATTGAAACATGTTGCTACATTCTGCATATTTGATCTTATCTTAAAGTGATGTGAAAACGTTGTGCAAAATGAATGGGAGATTTGACATGTTTTTTATGTTACTCAACCTGGAATAGGCTTTAAAATCTGCAAATTTTGTAGTGAAATTAGCTGTATGAACTCTTATTCACCAATTAGATTAGAAATTACGTTTTATTCACAAATGAATCTGAATTTCTTTTGACATGTAAGGAGTATAGGAAGTTGTTTCCAAACTGCATATATGTGAAGGACAGAACAAGTGAGTTCCGTCGGGCAATTAACCTGGTTGTATGAATTTAAACCAAATTAACCTCTGTTTGATAACATATCAACTACTACAACAACAACAACTGCGCCTCATTATATGAATTCCCACTGTCCATGTCGCTCTTTAAGCTCATCTCTTTCCAATATTATAGTATTGGAACGAGCTTAAATGGAGCGACATGGACAGTGAGGGTAAAAAGATATGAATTATTTGGGCGGTTTACTCGGCATATCCCCACTGGTAGTATATGACTGGCAGCTAGAAAGTAGAATTATTTGCAACTTTCATGTCATAATAGTTTGTCATTCACCTTGTCTTTTCTATAGGCAACAAAGGAGCAGGTAGGACACCATTGAACTGGGAAACAAGAGCTGGCATTGCTCTTGGAGCTGCACACGGGATTGCCTATCTTCACACACAAGGCCCCTCCGTTTCACATGGCAACATTAAGTCGTCTAACATCCTCCTCACCAAATCATACGAGGCCCGTGTTTCAGATTTTGGTCTTGCTCAACTTGTCGGTCCATCATCAACTCCTAACCGCGTTGCAGGTTACAGGGCACCAGAGGTAACCGACCCTCGTAAAGTCTCCCAAAAAGCAGATGTCTACAGCTTTGGCGTCTTGTTATTGGAACTCCTAACGGGAAAGGCCCCCACCCATTCGTTAATGAATGAGGAAGGCGTAGACCTACCAAGATGGGTGCAATCAGTCGTACGAGAAGAGTGGACAGCTGAAGTCTTTGACCTCGAACTCCTTAGGTACCAAAACGTCGAGGAGGACATGGTTCAGCTCTTGCAACTTGCAGTTGATTGCACTGCTCAGTACCCGGACAGACGCCCTTCAATGGCCGAGGTCACTAGCCGCGTTGAAGAACTCTGCCGTTCTAGCTTCATGGATTCTGGAGCTGACACAATTGACAATGCAGAAGTGGAAACTGCATGAAATTGATCAAGAAAATAGTTCCATCACATTATTTCCTTTTTTTCCCTTTTTTTTAACGTTTTCGATTGAGCATTTTAATTTCTCTGTTCATTCTTGGAGATTCTTCAGTGAAGATCAATTGTTCATTTTTTTTTTCTGGATTTAATTTTCTGTAGCAACAAAGTTTCAGTAAGATCTGGTTGGCAGTTGAAGTGGGGTTGGTTTTTAGATATTAATGTATTCTTTTTTAAAGGGTGTGAGATGTATAAATAATTGAGATGACCTTCTAGTTACAACTCATTGCACAGTTTCTTGATTCTTTAGGATTTGCTTCTGATTAAAGATTGATTTGTTGGTAATAGTGATTGTAATTATCATTAATGGTGTGTAATGCCAACAGCCAGCAATACCATGTGAGATTATTCCTTCCTAATGGTCCAAACAACCTTATCAAATTTGAAAAGACTTATCTAGGCGGATCCAGAATTTGACCTTTATGGTTCCAAATTTTTTAAGACGGCGACCTCAAGTGGGTGTAATTTAATTTTTGTACATATTTAATAAATTTTTAACATATGTACTTGATTTGAACCAAAGTTATTGAGTTAAGTTGAACTCTACAGTGAAAGGCTACCTCCAACCCCTGACTAGACTTATATGTCTTTTTCACTCCAATCTGTACAGGCTCGTTTGGTATGAGGTATAAGGGATAATTAATCCTGAGATTAAATTTGAGATGAGTTTATTCCACGTCTGATTGGGATAAAATCGTGGTATAAGTAATCCCGGGATTGTCGTGTCTTTCTATTCTCATGGGAGGATGAGATAATTAATCCCGGGATAATTAGAGTAACGTAATAAACATATTAATCTTATTTCAACTTAGACGTCAAAACAGAGTAAAGCATACTAACCATTGTCAAAATTTACTGTACTATGGAGTTTGGAGACATTATTTTGGCTTGTGTAGTTAACAAAAGAGACATCATTCCAAATGCTAACAAGTCTGAAAACGATTTTAAACTACTTTCCACCAGACTAAGTTAAATTAGAAGCAAATTCAAGGTCTCTTTCTCTGGTAAAAGAAGTTCACGACCCGTGGGCCTTCTACCTTCACGTGGCATTGCTCCATCAGACTTCCGCCGATTGAGAGTAATTCCCCGTTGGGCCGTGTCTTAATCCTAGTGTGGCTGATCATCTTCTCGGACTAGCTACTAATCATCGCGTTGGTAAACTATTATCTTACCAACTAGCTAATCAGACGCGAGACCCTAACTAACTATATACACACACACATATCTACACTTTGAGTACTCGTAGTGTGGTATAATGATCAATGAAATTGGTGCTTTGCATGTGATCAACAGTTTATACATGTCGAGGTGTGCATGAGCTAGCACCAACACCACATTTATAAAAAAAGAAAAAAGAAAAAAAAAGATATATGTCCCTACTTTTGTATGTTTATATAATTACAAGTTCCCACTAACAAAGTTATCATTCTTGAAGTTATGAAAAGTATTTGCTTTTGAATAAACTAATAGTTGATCAAAAGGTCATCTTTATCAAAATGAGAGAAAGGGTTAAAATCTGTAAAGATCACTAAAATGAATGTATATAAAGAGCATGACACATGAACACATGAAGTACCATGAAATTGTTTTGTACCAAATGAACCCTTTTGACCCCTAATTAATACCTTAATGCCAATATATATTGATAATAATAACACCGATCTTGCTCTTTTTTTTTTTTTTTTTGGAAAAATTAGCATCAGAACAATTCAACCATATATCAACATAATTCCTTAAAAAAAAAAGGAGGAATAAGAAAATTATTTGTAAAGATAGCCCTTCTGACTTGCATCGCATGTGCTATTAAGATACCTTTAGACTTGTAACATTCTTAACGATTCAACCATTGACCTCTTCTGACTACAACGTTTGAGTAAATTTTGACATACTGATTTACACCCTTTATTTTTCTTTTTGAAGTTTAAATAAAATGATCAAAAAACGTTAGCAAAGAATATACAGTTTAAAGAAAATGTCGGAAAAAACTGAGAGAAGATAAGTAGAGATTACTCGTAATGATCTTACACATTCAAAAGAAAAAATGTTTCAATGTTATTATATTCTTTTTGCTTTTACAAAATATTACAACTTCACAATATTTTTGTACTACCCCTCTCGCTAGGTTACATGCTTTGGATATCTAGGGTATGCTACGTGAGCCATGTCTGCTAGAAGTAATTGTTGCATCGAATGTGGTGGACGATGCAATATTACCAAGTTTTCGTTTTGTGTTCTTCCCAACTTCGCCAAGTGATCAGCACACGTATTTCCTTGCCTCAAAGTATGGATTAGAGTTATTCCAAGTTTAGATATGAGGCTCCTGCATTCTTCCATCACAACCCGATCCGGGTGACTTTCAGGGACGTTACCTTCCACACTTAGCCACATTAGGGCATCACTCGAGTCGGTTTCGATTATTACATTTTTCAAATTGTAACTTTTTGCTAGAGTCAGACCGCCATGTATAGCCCATAACTCCGGTGTAAGACTTGATGTCGCTCTCATGTTAAGTCGTCCGCAAAATCCTCCTATCCACCTTCCTTTATCATCTCGAGCAATGCCTCCGAACCCTGCTAGTCCCGAATTTGGCATAAAACTGCCGTCTGTGTTGATCTTGATAAACCCTAACGGAGGAAATGACCAACTAATGAAAATAGGTGTAGTACTACTCTGTTGAATTTTTGTTGATTGAAAATGGCAATTAGTTGCATTTCTAGGGCCGATTGGAACATGACTTTGGCAGCAAATAGATGCCATAGCTTTTTAAATACCACGAGATTGCACTTTAAATCTCTGTTTTGACTATCAAAGAAAGAAAAAGAGATTATAGAGTTAAACACAAAACTAGAGCTCTTAAATTTATTATCACTACACATGTACATATATATATAGAGGCAACCTAGCTAATCCTAATTTTTGTAGGATTCTGCGTTTAGGAAATTAATAAGGAAATAGGAAATTAAATAACGTGACTTTTCAAATCCTAATTCGAACTAATATGGGAATTCCATTTAAGAGACCCAGACGGAGAAGGAAACAAAAGAAATAATGAAAATGAAAACGTGACTTTTCAATCAAAACTCCAATGGGGTTTCCATTTAGTAAATCGAGGAGGAAAGTGAATCCATTCTTATATTCATTATTATTACTATTCCATGTTAAATAAAATTATAAATTATGATTTTGCCACTAAAATTTTCCTACCTACGAAGATGAATAAAATCCGTTTAAACCAAAAAAAGTTAAAAATAAAATCCATTAGAAAAGCACATCAACTAAAAACTCGTTCCTGTGAAATTCATAACAAAATTACTCTCAATCCTAATTAATCAAGGAAACAAACTTTATTGCTTCTTAGAGCCCGTTTGGCCAAGTTATCAAAAACTGTTTATTTTGAAAAGTATTTTTTTTCTTTCTAAAGTGCTTTTTTTTTCTTTCCAAACGTACTTTTGGAAAACCCGCAATTATCTATCTGAGGACTGTAAATTCACCTTTTTCAGTTCTTTTTGATTTTTTAGCAAAACTTTATGGACAATACTAAGGTGAATGTTTTGTAAGATTCTCGAACTATGTTGCTTTGAAATGTTCTATTAATATCGTAAGGTGGATGTTACTGACTATTTCTCATTAATTTATTCACATTAATATTTGTGTTATGATAGTGTTTGAATAGTAACTGGATATGTTCTATTTGCAGGAACTCTTTCTAAGAATGGAAACTACAACTTCTGGAGCAGATGCGGAGGTGGTTGTCAATAATCCTTCGCCAGTGGCAGCTCAAAAACAAAGTGCAGACACTCCTCATCGACGCACTCCTCCTAAGAAGCAAAAAAGAACGACTCCATCAGAAAAATCTAAATCTGGGAATAGTGGCAGAGAGACGTCCGAGATTTGGAATCACTTCTCCAAATTTACTGCTAAAGGAGGTAAATGTAGGGCAAAATGCAATTATTATTGTCCTAAAATATTTGCTGCAGGTAGAAAGAATGGGACTACTACATTATGGTCGCATTTAACTTCTACATGTCACAAATCTCCCTTTAGAGCCATTGATAAGAGACAATCAACATTAAAACCTATCAAGGAAGGGTGGCTAGAAGGTGGTTTGGCGAATTTGTAATTCTTGATGAGCAACCTTTTAGAGTTGTTGAAGGAGAAGGATTTAAGAAATTAATTGCTAAAGCCTTACCTAATTTCGAATTACCTTCTCGTGTAACTGTTGCTAGACATTGTTTGAGGATTTATCATGAAGAGAAGGCAAAAATTAAAAATCTTATTAAGAACCAACGCGTATGTCTCACTAGTGATACATGGACATCACTACAAAACTTAACTTATATGGTTGTTAGTGCACATTGGATAGATGATCAATGGAATCTACAAAAGAAAATTTTGAACTTTTTTCCAACACCGGATCACAAAGGTGAGACTATTGCAAAGGGAATTGAAGCATGTTTATTTGGTTGGGGCATTGAGAACTTGTTTACAGTGACCTTGGATAATGCAAGTGCTAATGATGCTACCATTAAGCATTTGAAGTTGCGTATTGATGATTGGAAAGGGGCAATACTTGGAAATGAGTTTTTGCATGTTAGATGCAATGCTCATATTTTGAACTTGATTGTAAAAGATGGGTTAGATGAACAAATTGATCCTATTACTCGTGTAAGAAATGCGGTAAAATATGTTAGGTCTTCTCCTTCAAGGTTTGCTTCTTTCAAGTCATTTGTTGAGAAAGCTAAGATAGATACTCACGGTCTTGTAAGTCTTGATGTTGAAACAAGATGGGATTCCACATATACAATATTAGATACAACTCTAAAATTTGAAAAAGCCTTTACAAAAATGTATGTGGACGACCATAAGTATCAAAAGTATTATCGAGAAATAAGTGCTTTAAGAGGANATGCAATACATAAACCGGTACTATCCAGTACCCCGCTGCGGCCGTGCAGCCGCTCCATTTATTTAACGTCGACGGCGCTCACTGGGGGTGTGCAGACTTCGGGAGGGGCCCCTTACGACCCAAGCGCAATAATAAGCCATATCGTGGCATCAAACAGGCCCTCGGCCTCATATCAATATCAATATCATACCACTGCGGCGTGCAGTCCGATCCCATACTCAGTCCAAAATCACATAAGCCTTTCGGCACAATACTATAAAAATATTCAGCCCAAACTTCATTTAAAAATATTACTTTAGTTTCTACTTTTAGAAAAATGGCTGAGTTTACAAAAACAGTGTTAAATGCTAGGACTGAGTTCAATATCTAGAAATATGGTAAGAAACCAGTAAAAATAATTCCTGAAGGATCCAAGTAGTTGGCACGAAGCCCAATTATGACAATTAATCTATTTTTATAAGGATATCACAAAACTACAATCAATTAGGTAGTAATTTTATTAAGCGGGACGGACCAAGTCACAATCCCCGACGGTGCTCTACCCCACGCCCGTTATCCGGCGTGCAAGTCACCTCACATAGCACTACGATGTGCAAATTCGGGGTTTCAAACCCTCAACACAGCATTTACATTTATTAGTAACCTCAAGCCGGCCAAAGTCCTAGCTTGCTATGCCCTTGCCTTTCGAATTCACCTCTTTGTGCGTCGAATCTGACCAAAACCACAACGAATACGTCACAATATGCTAAGGGAATATAACCCAATCGAAAAGACTCGAAAAACATCGAAAATCACGAAGTTGGCAAAACCCGAGCCCCGGGCCCACTTCTCGAAAAATTATAAATTTTACATCACCGGATTCCTTATCTCGCCACGAGTCCATGCATATAAAGAACACCAAAATCGGAGTCCAAATGACCCCTCAAATTCCCATTTTTGTTCTCTTAGGTTTCAAGCCCTAAACCACCATTTTTTACCTTAATTCTTGAGTTTTCAGTGTAATTTCATGTATTTGCATGATAAAATTGTGTTCTAAGTCCAAGAATGCTTACATGATAAAATTTTAGTTATTTCCGCTTCTGCGTTGCCTTTGTCGCTTCTGCGACAACCGCATCTGCGGTCACTTTCCGCTTCTGCGGAATCTCACTTATTGCCTTGGACCGCTTTTGCGGTCACTAACCGCTTCTGCGGAAGCCGCTTATGCGGGAAATAGTCCGCTCCTGCGGAAATCTCCAAAGTGCCCAACCTCGCTTCTGTGACTCCTCATAAGCTTCTGCGGAACCGCTTCTGCGGTCCATTTTCGCAGAAGCGAAAATACCAGATACCAGACCACTCAGTAGTCCTTAAACTCTAAATTTCATCCTGTTAGCTATCCGAAATCACCCCGAGGCCCTCGGGACCTCAACCAAAAATACAAACATGATCCAATACCTTATTCAAACTTGCTCCAATCATCAAAACACCTCAAACAACACTAAAACCATCGTGTCTCATCGAATTCAAGCCTAAGTTCTTCCAAAACTTCCGAAACACGAATTCGATCAAAAACCCAACCAAAACACCTCCGAGTGACCTGAAATTTTGCACACAGATCCCAAATCACCTAACGAAGCTACTGTAACTCTCGGAATTCCATTCGGACCCCCGGATCAAAATCTCACCTATCGATCGGAATTCGCCAAAATCCTAACTTTGCCAATTCAAGCCTAATTCTACTCCGTACCTCCAAAATCACTTTTGATTACACTCCTAAGTCACAAATCATCCCCCGAAGCTAACTAAATCATCGGAATTCATATCCGATCCCTCTAACACAAAAGTCAACGTCCGATTGATTTTTCCAATTTAAGCCTTCTTAAAAGAGACTAAGTGTCTCATTTCTTATCAAACCCAATCCAAATCAACTCCAACACATCTAATACTGATACTGAAACATAAGGAAATAAAAAATGGGGAAAACAGGGCGGTAACACGTGACGACGGGTCGGATCGTCACAGCACCAACATCACATTTATAAAAAATAAGAATATACATATATATGTCCCTACTATTGTAGGTTTATATCATCACAAGTTCCCACTGACAAGGTTATTATTCTTGAAGTTACGAAAAGTATTTGCTTTTAAATAAACTAATAGTTGATCAAAAGGCCCTCTTTATCAAAATGAGAGAAAGGGTTAAAATCTGTAAAGATCACTAAAATGAATGTATATAAAGAGCATGACACATGAACACATAAAGTACCATGAAATTGTTTTGTACCAAATGAACCCTGTTGACCCCTAATTAATATCTTAATGCCAATATATATTGATAATAATAACACCGATCTTGCTCTTTTTCTTTCTTTTTTTTTTTTTGGAAAAATTAGTATCAGAACAGTTCAACCATATATCAACATAATTCCTTAAAAAAAAGAAGGAATAAGAAAATTATTTGTAAAGATAGCCCTTCTGACTTGCATCGCATGTGCTATTAAGATACCTTTAGACTTGTAACCTTCTTAACGATTCAACCATTGACCTCTTCTGACTACAAAGTTTGAGTAAATTTTGACATACTGATTAACGCCCTTTATTTTTCTTTTTGAAGTTTAAATGAAATGATCAAAAAACGTTAGCAAAGAATATACAGTTTGAAGAAAATGTCGGAAAAAACTGAGAGAAGATAAGTAGAGATTACTCGTAATGATCTTACACATTCAAAAGAAAAAATGTTTCAATGTTATTATAAACTTCACAATATTTTTGTACTACCGCTCTCGCTAGGTTACATGCTTTGGATATCTAGGGTATGCTACGTGAGCCATGTCTGCTAGAAGTAATTGTTGCATCGAATGTGGTGGACGATGCAATATTACCAAGTTTTCGTTTTGTGTTCTTCCCAACTTCGCCAAGTGATCAGCATACATATTTCCTTGCCTCAAAGTATGGATTAGAGTTATTCCAAGTTTAGATATGAGGCTCCTGCATTCTTCCATCACAACCCGATCCGGATGACTTTCAGGGACGTTACCTTCCACACTTAGCCACATTAGGGCATCACTCGAGTCGGTTTCGATTATTACATTTTTCAAATTGTAACTTTTTGCTAGAGTCAGACCGTCATGTATAGCCCATAACTCCGGTTTAAGACTTGATGTCGCTCTCATGTTAAGTCGTCCGCAAAATCCTCCTATCTACCTTCCTTTATCATCTCGAGCAACGTCTCCAAACCCTGCTAGTCCCGAATTTGGCATAAAACTGCCGTCTGTGTTGATCTTGATAAACCCTAACGGAGGAAATGACCAACTAATGAAAATAGGTGTAGTACTACTCTGTTGAATTTTTGTTGATTGAAAATGGCAATTAGTTGCATTTCTAGGGCCGATTGGAACATGACTTTGGCAGCAAATAGATGCCATAGCTTTTTAAATACCACGAGATTGCACTTTAAATCTCTGTTTTGACTATCAAAGAAAGAAAAAGAGATTATAGAATTAAACACAAAACTAGAGCTCTTAAATTTATTATCACCACACATGTACATATATATATAGNTTAGAATCTAAGTTATAAATATTTCTTAATTTTTATTATAATTCTTTATATAGCATAATATTTTAAATTGGTATTATAGCCCAATGTAAATGTTTGTTTTGTTTGGCCCATAAAAGAATAATTGAGCCCAAACCAAAACCTAATCTTAAAGCAGATAGATTGTCCTATAGGTGTTGTGAAACACACAAACAATTGAAATCATCTTGCCTCTTCTCCAAAGGCAAAAAACCTACGCTCTTCCTTTGCTCAAACAATTGAAATCATCGGTAAAGCTTTCATCGGTAAATCTCTCATCGGTAAAGCTCTTTTGCTCTCATTTTACATGTTTTCTTTTAGCTACATACATATACCTTGCTTTTCCCCAATTAACTAAGATGTGGCAAACTAGCTTCAAGTCCAAGTGGAAACAAGTGAAACAAGTGATACAGATATGTATCACTACTTTAAGTAATGATACAGATATGTACTATAACTATAAGCGTATACTATAAGTAATAAAGAAAACCCGCAATTATCTATCTGAGGACTGTAAATTCACCTTTTTCAGTTCTTTTTGATTTTTTTAGCAAAACTTTATGGACAATACTAAGGTGAATGTTTTGTAAGATTCTCGAACTATGTTGCTTTGAAATGTTCTATTAATATCGTAAGGTGGATGTTACTGACTATTTCTCATTAATTTATTCACATTATTATTTGTGTTATGATAGTGTTTGAATAGTAACTGGATATGTTCTATTTGCAGGAACTCTTTCTAAGAATGGAAACTACAACTTCTGGAGCAGATGCGGAGGTGGTTGTCAATAATCCTTCGCCAGTGGCAGCTCAAAAACAAAGTGCAGACACTCCTCATCGACGCACTCCTCCTAAGAAGCAAAAAAGAACGACTCCATCAGAAAAATCTAAATCTGGGAATAGTGGCAGAGAGACGTCCGAGATTTGGAATCACTTCTCCAAATTTACTGCTAAAGGAGGTAAATGTAGGGCAAAATGCAATTATTGTCCTAAAACATTTGCTGCAGGTAGAAAGAATGGGACTACTACATTATGGTCGCATTTAACTTCTACATGTCACAAATCTCCCTTTAGAGCCATTGATAAGAGACAATCAACATTAAAACCTATCAAGGAAGGGTGGCTAGAAGGTGGTTTGGCGAATTTGTAATTCTTGATGAGCAACCTTTTAGAGTTGTTGAAGGAGAAGGATTTAAGAAATTAATGGCTAAAGCCTTACCTAATTTCGAATTACCTTCTCGTGTAACTGTTGCTAGACATTGTTTGAGGATTTATCATGAAGAGAAGGCAAAAATTAAAAATCTTATTAAGAACCAACGCGTATGTCTCACTAGTGATACATGGACATCACTACAAAACTTAACTTATATGGTTGTTAGTGCACATTGGATAGATGATCAATGGAATCTACAAAAGAAAATTTTGAACTTTTTTCCAACACCGGATCACAAAGGTGAGACTATTGCAAAGGGAATTGAAGCATGTTTATTTGGTTGGGGCATTGAGAACTTGTTTACAGTGACCTTGGATAATGCAAGTGCTAATGATGCTACCATTAAGCATTTGAAGTTGCGTATTGATGATTGGAAAGGGGCAATACTTGGAAATGAGTTTTTGCATGTTAGATGCAATGCTCATATTTTGAACTTGATTGTAAAAGATGGGTTAGATGAACAAATTGAGCCTATTACTCGTGTAAGAAATGCGGTAAAATATGTTAGGTCTTCTCCTTCAAGGTTTGCTTCTTTCAAGTCATTTGTTGAGAAAGCTAAGATAGATACTCACGGTCTTGTAAGTCTTGATGTTGAAACAAGATGGGATTCCACATATACAATATTAGATACAACTCTAAAATTTGAAAAAGCCTTTACAAAAATGTATGTGGACGACCATAAGTATCAAAAGTATTGTCGAGAAATAAGTGCTTTAAGAGGAAATCCATCTGCAGATGACTGGAAGAATGTGAAAGCTTTTATAAAGTTTCTTAACATTTTCTATCAGACAACTTTAAAATTTTCAGGCAGTTTATATGCTACTTCCAACTCTTTCTTCCATGAATTTTTCAATCTTCGAAATGCTATTATAAAGCATACCAAAAGCGAGGATACTTTGAATGATATGGCAGGAAGAATGAAAAGTAAGCTTGAGAAATATTGGGGTAAGTTTGAGGATATGAATATGTTATTGCTTGTTGCTGTTGTGTTGGATCCTAGATACAAGATGAAGTATGTGAACTTCATTCTTACTGATGCATTTGGTTCTTTGTTGGGAAGATTGAAGTCCGAAGATGTGGTAAGCATTTTAACTCGCTTGTATAATAACTACAATGATTCTTTTTTTGAGGCTTCTAGTGACAATATTGGAGGCGATACTAGTATGAGTGAAGTTGGTGATTTGTTGCAATCAAAGTGGGAGAAACTTTTGGAAGATGAGGGAAATATTAAAAAAAATCTGATCTTGAGATATATTTGATGGATGATGTGGTGAAGATCAAGGATTTTAATATCTTGGCATGGTGGAAAGTTTCATCTAGTAAATATCCAATTGTTTCAAAGATTGCAAGGGATGTTCTTTCTATTCCTATTTCTACTGTTGCATCGGAGTCTGCTTTTAGTACAGGTGGTCGAATTTTGGATTCTTATAGGAGTTCTTTATCACCAAAAACAGTGGAAGCACTTATTTGTACTCAACAATGGATACGATCACCTTCCAAGGAATATAAGTTTGAAGACATGTTAGAGGAAGTCCAGAAAATTGAGCAAATTGAAGAAGGTAATAATTTATATTCAATTGTTAATGAGTATAGTTATATTTTACATTAATTAATATTTAAATATGTTAATTGTTTCTTTCTTTTTTTCCAGAATATGTAGACTCACCTTTGAGGATTGATTAGAGGGATGATTAACTACAATTTGCTTCATGACTATTTTTGGAAGCGAGGTCATTATGCCTTTACAAGTATTTTGGAAACATGCTCCTGTGGTTGTAATATCTACTAAGATGCCCAACTTTTTAGAGTTTAATATATTCTCTTTTTGTTTATCTTTTAGGACTCTTGGGTGTAATGTCTACTCTTAAAAAGTTGGTGATAATTCTTATGTAGAGTGCAATATGATATGCAATTTATATTTTTGGTCTCATTCTGCCTACTTCCTAATGGCCAGATATTGTTTAAATCTAATTCAATCTTTCTCTTGACTTAGTAGAACTGATATGGAAATGTATGGAGTTGTAGCCTTCAGGAATAGTTCATTGGCTTGTTAATGTTTTATTAGAACACAGTATGTGGGCATATCAAGGAGTAAGGAGTAATTTTTATTAGAACACAGTATGTTTACTGGAAAAAAGACATCTGCATTGTGTAAGGAGTCATGTTTCCTTAACACCTATTGCCATTCATTGTTTGCTACTGTGTTCCCTATTCTTTGATTGAAGAGAGTAAACATATTTCGTTGAAAGGCAATGAAACTTCTTGCCCAGATGAACTAAATCCATTTATTACCATTCCATGCTTGGATCAGGCCATGCCTGATGATGATTATCTTGAGGTTAACCATCAAAGGGATAAAGGTGAACTCCTCTGCTTATATGCGACAGATATATTAAACCTTGAGAAATATGGTGATGGTTGGGGTAGAATTCGTAACAACAGGAGCAGCTGCTTGTGTTCACCATGGTTGTCATTCAAGTAGACCTGTTGTACGCAAGCAACATGTTACAACATGCTCATTCAAGAAAATGCCCCGTATAAGATTGATCCTGACCTCACAAGGTATTATTGTCATGATCCTTCTTTGGTGTATAATTTTAGACTTTTATATTCGCATGATCCTCCTGTTCTTTTTTGTACTCCAAGATAGCTGCAGGAATTTATTAGAATTTTATGATGGCAGCTATATATAGTTCGGAGCACAAGTTTATCGGAACGAAAAACCCGAAAAACCTGAGAAACCCGAGAAAACACGATATTGAAAAACCCGACTTTTGTTGGTTTGGTTTGATCTATAGATTTAAAAACCCGATACAATTGGTTTGGTTTGGTAATTGCAAAATCCGAACCAACCCGACCTATGTACACCCCTAATCACCACACATGTACATATATATATATATATAGAGGCAACCTAGCTAATCCTAATTTTTTTAGGATTCTGCGTTTAGGAAATTAATAAGGAAATAGGAAATTAAATAACGTGACTTTTCAAATCCTAATTCGAACTAATATGGGAATTCCATTTAGGAGACCCAGACGGAGAAGGAAACAAAAGAAATAATGAAAATGAAAACGTGACTTTTCAATCAAAACTCCAATGGGGTTTCCATTTAGTAAATCGAGGAGGAAAGTGAATCCATTCTTATATTCATTATTATTACTATTCCATGTTAAATAAAATTATAAATTATGATTTTGCCACTAAAATTTTCCTACCTACGAAGATGAATAAAATCCGTTTAAACCAAAAAAAGTTAAAAATAAAATCCATTAGAAAAGCACATCAACTAAAAACTCGTTCCTGTGAAATTCATAACAAAATTACTCTCAATCCTAATTAATCAAGGAAACAAACTTTATTGCTTCTTAGAGCCCGTTTGGCCAAGTTATCAAAAACTGTTTATTTTGAAAAGTATTTTTTTTCTTTCTAAAGTGCTTTTTTTTTCTTTCCAAAAGTACTTTTGGAAAAAAATAGTTTGTGTTTGGCCAATTTATTTAAGAAGTACTTTTTTGCAACATTTGGTAAACAAATTTTGTTTGGCCAATCTTTCTAAAAAGTAATATTGAGTGTCAAATTACAAAAAAGGATAGTACCAAGGTTTTATAATTATTTTAAAGAGAAAAATGAACTGAAATATTTATCTTAAGAGACTTCTAGTATTTTTTTGTTTTATTTAATTAAAATGTAGAAAATAAAGTAAACATACATATTAAAGAAGTAAATATAACATATAAACTTATACCAAAGCATATAATATTATCTAGTATAATTACTTATGTTTACTTGATGATCTGAATAATCAAAATAAATCATTCAGTTAGAGGTCTATTCTATATATTGATAATTCACCATGAAATAATAAGCAAAGTCACTCACATATGATAACTTCTCTCAACAATTTCTTCTCTAATTCTATCACACAACGCTTCCATATTAGTAGAAGACTTGCCTTGTATTTCTTAAGGAATACCAGAAGGCCCATCTCATTCCTCAATTTCTGCAGTAATGTCTTCATTAGCATAATAGTTGAATTCCTTATCGGTGGAAGAATGTCGTCGGATAATGTATAGCTATGATAGTTGTAACAAGATGATTATGGGTGTCAAACATGAAAGATGGCTGAGTGTAAAATAGATATAATTTTAAATATACAAATAATTATCATTTTCATAAAAAATATTTAAGAATGTTTAAAGTCAAATTCAAAAAGATTAACTAATTATTAACAACACATAATGCACAATTAATTTTAAAAAATGTAACTTAAAAATAAACTAATTAATACCTATCCTAACTAACTTTGTACTAAATTGCCAAGTGGCCTATTTGTAGTAATTTTTACAAATTAGATTTGATGACTGTTTCAAAGATTCCGAAATTAATAGCCTATAAGAGAAGAAATTATAAATGATTATTTGTAAGAAAAGAATTGATAATCCAAAGAAGGATGTAGATAATTCGCTTTAGTGTGGACTAAGAATAAGATAACTTGAAAAGTTACAAGATATTACACAAAGAAAAAATCAAAAACAATAAAAGTCAATAAAGAATTTGGAAAGCTACAATATATTTAATGTATATGATATATTTAAATTTAAAAGAATGGTAAAAACAAGAAACAAAAATGAAAATAAAACTTGATTCAATAAGGGATAATTTGGAAAATATAAATTTATAGTGAGGATAGTTTTTTTGTCTTGAATAAATTAACTTTCTGTTTTGCTTCTACTTCTTGGAAGAAGCTAGAATTTTCTGCGTCTTCCCAAAAGCAGAAAAACTGCTTCTACTGCTGCCAAAAGTACTTGTCTGTCTTGGCCAAACAACTTAAATTTTAAAAAAAAGTACTTGTAACGACCCGAACGGTCGTTTTGCGCATTTGCACTTCACTCGCTAGTTCTCGGGCATGACTAGCCTCGTATGATGTATTACGACT